CCTGACGGTCTATGGGGCAAGTGAAGTAGAGTTCATATGCATAGATAGTGTGGTCAGCACTATGCCCAGCCGCCATTACTTACCCTAACGTGAATTAGGTACCCATCACAGTTGGGTGGACTCTGGGACGGTTTACTGACTTGATCCCGGATTCGAGCTCGAGACTTACGGGTTAGTAATCCAGCTCTCTACCGCTAAACCACTCCGTCCCAGAGAGACACGTACGCATCCGTATATTTTACTGTTCAAACTTTAATCATATACATCATGTTAGGATAAAATGTATATTTTATTATGTCGGAGAGAGGTACATAAACACCTCTCCTATATTAACCTTTTCCTACATAAACTTTTCTCCTGCATAAACTCCTCTCCTACATAAAACCTTCTCCTACATAAACTTTTTCGCCTGCATAAACACATCTCCTACATAAACTTGTCTCCTACACAAACCCCTCTCATACATAAACCCCTCTCCTTTATAAAACGTATCCTATATAAACCCTTTCCTACTTAAACCTACATATACCCCTCTACAACATCAACCCTTCTCTACATAAAATTCTCACCTACATTAAACCTCTCCTACATAAGCCCATCCCCTACATTAAACCTCTCCTACATAAGCCAATCCCCTACATTAAACATCTCCTACATAAGTCCATCTCCTACATTAAACCTCTCCTACATGCACCCTCTCTTACATACATTTATTGGTCTTCGTGTAAGGCTCTGAGTTATATATGGCTAAACGATTGTTGATTAAATACTTTCTTATATTATTACTTAAGCTATTGATTTTTTATTATTCAGCATACAATGTTACCATTCGTGCTTAAGACACATGGAATAGATGCAGTAGAGTTCCTCTGTTTTTATAACTCCAGCCAACAAGGGGATGATGTGATCAACATTATGCTCAGCCACCTTTGTTTCTCTAACTTAAGTCAGGTACCCATTATATACGGGTGGACTCAAGAACATCATAAGCCACAATACCTAACCTAATATAAACAGAAAGTGATATTTCAACGCCAAGGGTAGACAAAGGTACATAAAATAGTCAAAGTAAAGACTATGTGTATCAGGTCTGTGCAGCCTAAGAACCTAAGGGCCGCCTGATAGTACTGAATATGGTTGCTCATTAGTTTATGATAGCTGCTCGTTAGTTCATAGAAGCGTCCATGTACTGTGGTCACTCCATCTATATCATTTAAAATCTTCTCTCACTCTTCCATTAGGGCCTTTATGTGATTACAATGTCTGGTTTGTTTCTATGTTGTGCGTTTTATTATTGTTAGGAAGATATTTAGAGATATGATAGAATGCACACTTTATACTTTTTTGATACAACGCTTTTATTTTTAAAATTTATCTTTTTTACACCTACATATCTGATAGAGTTAGCGAAACGAGTGTGTTATGGTTACTTATAGTTTGTACGAGGCTTAGACACAACGAGTATGCATAAACATATCACTGATACTGTATATCTCTAATATTTGAGGAATAACTAGAAATTTTACCACTACATTTTTGAATCATATCATTGTTCTTATCATTGATCAGTCCAAATTTTCTCTCGATTACATTTTGTAAAATTGCTTCTTTAGGTGGTCATCCATAAAAAACCAAACGATTTTTTTCCAATTTTTTACCTTCCCCCCGAGGCCCCCGCCCGCCACTCCCCTTAGTCATATATAGTCACAAAAAGCCAGACCCCCCCCTCCAAAAAAATGACGTCACACCTCAACCTACACTCCCCACCCCTCAAAATGACAGTTGAATGTTCCTTAAAACAGTGATATTCTTTCATTTCTTGTCTAAACTCTGTCGACATTGAGTGTTTTAATTAATGTTTATTTATTAAAACGGTTTTTTAAACGCGAAATAAAGGCTACAATTCGTTTTCTAGCATTGCTGTTTATAATGCAAAACAACCCCATCCCCCTCATCACACACGAATCTCGTTTGCCCGAACGTCATTTTCCGGAAGGCCGTTTTACCAAAACATGTTTGCGACAATCTCCTTCTTCAGTGTTGCGGTGTTTCTCAGTTTAAAAAAAAAAAAAATAATTAATAACGCAATTTAAACGTTATACAAATATTTTTCAGTTATACAATTACAATTAATATTTTATACTGTATTAGTTAGAGTTCTAAATCAGTAAAGATACTGTCTGGAACAAAATGTGTGTGTGTTTGTTGTTTTTTTTTTAATTTAAATGCATATCTGCCAAAGACCTTTGCCATTTTTTAAATGGGAAAAAATTACAAGGGAGACAAGGCAAAGCAAATTACTGAGCTGTCGGTTTTAGTAAATTTTAGAATGATATATTAAAAAAAATGTCAAAGTATGAATTATGAGAGAAAACTATTTATATGTTTCAGAAAACAAAAAAAAATTAGTAGTCACGCTGATATGCATTAACAATGTTTCGGGTTATAAAATTAAAATAAAAACAGTAACTTTAATGTATACATTTTTCAAAGACAAGTAATTTATTCACCTAGATCAATGGTCATTAGTGGCAGGGGTCGGCAACCTGCGGCTCGCGAGCCGCATGCGGCTCTTTTGATATCAAGATGCGGCTCTCCAGCTCCTTGAACAAATACTAATAATCTTAATAAAAAAATAAAATATTTGAAATTAAAAAATGTCAGTGGCTCTTTAAAACCAGGGAAATTTTGAAAATTGTAACTTTTGGCTCTTCCGCTTCAAAAGGTTGCCGACCCCTGATTAGTGGTTTTGAATCGTCATAAAACAATTATTATAAAAAAAGTAAACAAAATATTAAACACCACCAATCAAATAAAGCAATCACACTTAATTTAATTAAGACGACTAGACAAAGAACTGAAGACGAAAACAGACTAGTAGCAACGGCTATTTATAGATCGACTATATGGCAAATTAGGAATAAAGTCAGATATTTTTTCACAAAATACACGGACATCGAGTTAAAAGAAATATTTCAAGCAAAGCTAAGACATAGACTGGGAACTCTCACTTAACTGAGAAAAAAAAATATACAGGAAATAAATAAATAAAGTATTAATTTTAATTTAGTCTCAAGCCAAACATCACTCGATCAGCCCCCAAGTAAATTAACATTAGAACAGTCTTCTGTTTCCCAGGCTTTTAAAGTGCACAACCTGAATGGTAGAAAGAGATACACACCTCAACACCCCCCCCCCCCACACACACACACACTTCCCCCCCTCAACCGGACTGGCGGATATTTCAAGGTAGCGTGCCCTCATTGCCAAGGGTCAATTTTATGTCATGTAAAGTTTTGGAATGATAGATCAGTATGTGTATTACAGAGACCCTTCTCCCACTGTCGTTTCTATTTCTGTCCATGGGTGGCTACAATGTGAACTTTTGACTCCGCAGCACAGTAAACTAAGCAGTCAAGAGAAACCTAGTTTGCACACCTTATTTTTAGTCTAGTTCTTATGCCATTTTATTTTCTCCCTTTGATTATTATATATGCAATTGATGTTCATTGTTCATGTCTTTGATGCTGTGTAAAATCTATCAAATATATTATTATTACTGATTTAAATGTTTAAAACAATTGAATTAATAAACAAAAAAAAAAGTTATTTCACAACCCCACCCCCTCCTTGAACAATTCCCCCCCCCCCCACTTCTCAACCGGACCCCTGTCATTTGCATTTGACCTTCACCCCCTTTACTGTTATGCCTTTCAATTTTGTAAAATCACATACATCACATCATGTAAATATTTATTATGTAGGCCTACATTTGCAAAACCTTTCGTTTTCGTTTGATGTTCGAAATGATGTAAAGAATTTGATGTTGATGTACTTGTTTTAAATTGCAAATAAAAGTATTTAAAAAAAAAATAAAAAAAAGTAAAATCTGTGGATCGCAAAAAAAAAAAAAAAAAAAAAAAAAAAAAAAAAAAATTATAACAATAATACATTCGTATAAGCTTTTATTCTAATATTCTCAGCCACTACCCCCCCCCCCTTCACTTGGGCAGGGTTTGTCATATACACCGCATATGAATGACACACGACAAACACATAATACATTACAAGACACAAGAAGGAAATGATAAGTACTAGTAATTCACGACACGGTATATAATTCAAACTTATTATTGATATATTCGAGTACACTATTTCCAAATTATAAGACGCTTCTCAATTGCTTGTATTAAATCTATTAAGAGGTCATCCAACCAGTAATGGCGATCTCAAAAGATTAAAATGTTACAACCTCCCCCCCCCCCCCGCTCAGTCCTCACCCAGTCCACACGTGTCACGTGTCATCAACCAACACCACCCCGCACATCTGATGCTAACGTCCACAAAAAACTTGTTAGACCACTTAAAAATTACTTATGATTAACTAATTCGTAACAGACTGTATTTGGTGAATTATGTTTGGAGTGAAACGTGTGTGATAGTTGAATACCTGGCCATCGGGAGTGAATGTTATGTATAACTTTAAAATCATGTTATTTTTATTGTATTTTTGTGATGTACATGTTTATTCATGTTCATATAAGAGGGTGTGTGAGAGTGGCCTCCCCTCGTAAGTGGTGTGCCAGCGAGAAAAAGACGTGTGTAAGCAGTGTGTGATATCGTCAGCAGAGCGTAACCTGAGTTTGTCTTAAGAAGGAGGAGTGTTTTGTAGTTGAAGGTTATCTATGTTTCTCGGTTGTACTAAAAAGATTATATTTTATTGTGATCAATGAACGTTGGACTTTGTTTTTAATTGTGTTATGGCTAGTTCCCAACATTAAATAGCCCACTGACCATAACAAGTGAGGGCTTAAGTCCGGGATTTGAAACAACAAGATTTTTGACAAGTTTTTACCCCTAGACAAAAAGGACAATGTCTAGTATCAACAGCAGCGTCACAACCGACTAGAAACTTTCTAGTATTAACGGCATCGTTACAGCCGACTAGAAAACATCTAGTATTAACGGCATCGTTACAGCCGACTGGAAAGTGTCTAGTATCAACGGCAGTGTCACAACCGACGGGAAAATTTCTAGTATTAACGGCATCGTTACAGCCGACTAGAAACTATCTCGTATCAACGGCATCGTTACAGCCGACTAGAAAACATCTAGTATTAACGGCAGCAGTCATCGCCGACGTGAAAAGACTTCGTATCAACAGCCACAAAACTTGTGAACAGTGCTGCAGACATCATGGCCATAAATAATGACATTAAAAATACAGTGATAAAGCTAGGAGAGAAGTTGAGAGAACTTGCTAGCTACAAAGTGGACTACATTAGCATAGCAAGTAAGTTATCAAATTTTAGAGCTACAATATTAGCATCTCAGTCCTTGATCACATCAGAAGCAAATCATTGCGTCGCCACCAACATGAAAGCTCTAGCTACTGTCCCACTTACAGAAGACCTAATCAACCAGAGACGCAATCTAGGCAACAAGTCAACAGAGTGGAGAACTAGGTCAAGGGCAGCTGAGCAGAAGGTAACTTTAATCCAGTATCAAGTTCATAGTCTTTTTAAAGATACTAATGAGACTTTAATTATAGTTAAAGACTGTGATGTCAAGATAGCAGGATCGAAACAAAAATGTTTGGACGCCAGAGCTGAGCAGAAGAGCCAGAGCCAAGGTCAGAGCCAGTGCCAGAGCCAGTGCCAGTGCCAGAGCCAGTGCCAGAGCCAAAGTCAGAGCCAGAGCCCGTGCCAGAGCCAAAACCAGAGCCAGAGCCAAAACCAGAGCCAGAGCCAGAGCCAAAACCAGAGCCAGAGCCAAAACCAGAGCCAGAGCCAGAGCCAAAACCAGAGCCAGAGCCAAAACCAGAGCCAGAGCCGAAACCAGAGCCAGAGCCAGAGCCGGAGCCAAAACCAGAGCCAAAGCCAAAACCAGAGCCAAAGCCAGAGCCAAAACCAAAGCCAGAGCGAGAGCCAAAGCCAGAGCGAGATCCAGATCGACATCCAGAGCCAGAATACTGTACCAAAATTAGAGTGGTGTACGAACTTGTGTTATCTGAATAGCTTCTAGTTTTCATTGTCATCATTGACTAGATTTATTTCAACATATCTAACTTCATAAAACGAAAGGAAAGTAACATTGTTCTGATGTATTGTAATTCAATTCAAATGCTTTATTGATGACAAATGTTTTTTAAAAACCTTGTTGACTTATAGACTAGACGTATAAAGCTATAAGTAGTTAATTCATGCTTACGTCCAACATTTTATTGTAGAGATATAATTTTTACCCGCCATCATTTATTTATAGGGAGATTTAAAGCATGTAAAAGGTCAGATAAATATTGTATTAAAATTTTTACTGTACATGTTAAGTAGTTGTGCAGGATAGACCTTAGAAATGCTGTTTAATTTTAGTAAAAATAAGAAACCTCTTTTTTTTAGGGGGGAGGTGTGACGTGGCCTAGATGTTCATAGCGAAAGCGTGTAGGCACGGAGAGATTGGGTGTGAGAGTCGCCTCCCCTGACAAGTGTGTGAACTCTAGTGTGTAGGCAGTGTGTGGTTTCGTCAACTTAGGGTAGCATGTAGTCAGTGTTTTCGTGAATGTTCACTGTTTCTCTGTTGTATTTGGAAAATTATATTGGATTATTACATTTGAACTGTGTTTTAAATTGTGTTATACCTTGTTCCACTATGAAATGGAAAGCTAAGCATAACAATGTATAAGATAAACATGTATTATGTTAGTTCCCCAACTTTCTTTGGAACCCCAACATGACTCAATCATTGACTTCCAACTAGCAGAGCAGATACATAATAAACAACAGATAGTTTTATTTCTAATCAAACAAGAAAATCAGGAATACGTGTAACGGCATTTTTATTTATTTATCTTTTTTTTTAAATTTTATCAGATGATGAGCTACACGTTTTTTTAAACTTCCCTAGACATGGGTAGCTACACGGGGAAATGTATGGCTGAGGTTGTGTACAACTACCTTTATAATGTGGAGAAAATATGTTTTAGTGAGTGTTGGATGCTATTGCTGCCAGTGTCATTATTCTCTAAATCAGGAATCTCCAAACTTTTCAGACCGAGGGACGCATTGACTATCAAATATCAGTTCGGGGGCCAGAGTTTCTTCGGTGTCATGGAGCGGCCCCCCTTCCCCCCTTCAAAAAAAAAAAAAACAACCTCCACTGCCCCGCCCCCCCCCCCACCCCACTAAAATGTATAATGTATATAGAAATATATACGAATTTCACAATGTTTTCACCAATGTCTGCAACACTGTATGCAAAGGTATTTGCGCCCAAAGCTACATTTTCAAAATGTTTTGAATTTTCTGGGCAAAGTTCCTCAGCCACCTCTAACAAACATTTTTTTCCGTGGACAAAAAGATCTCCGCTGGCCGGATGAGAGGACCTCGCAGGCCGCATCCGGCCCGCGGGCTGTAGTTTGGAGACCCCTGCTCTACATGATAGCTAATTATTTTAATAGAATATACTTTATTATCAGAATCTTAAAGTTCTAAACTGAAAGATAAAAACATGTTGATTAAAATACACATTGACCAACAACTGTGGTTTAAACAATATAATGAACTCTTTCTGTGCATCGATTCAGTTCTGTCAAATTAGTAGACACAACTTAATAACGTGCTTTAATTTATATTGTATTTCTTTAAAAATTAAAAGTCTTGAAGTAGAAAATGTTGAAGAATTTAAAAAAAAATATATTATCTTTGCCTCACAATATTGTTTGGTTAATTTTCTAATTACGAGCAATTGCAAAATACATACAAACATACACAGTATTTGAAATTGTACATTAAACAAATATTGCTCACAATATTTTACTTAACTTTGTAGCTATGTTTCATTTAAATGGTACTTGATAACTGACAGTATCATTTAATGAGGTTGAAAAAAATTACTCTAATGTGTCCGTCCAAACAAATATATTTTCCCTTACACTAAAATGTGATCCCACAAATTGAAACCGAACATTTCATTTTACAAAAAAAAAAAGAAAAATATACTTAAAGGAAATAACACTGACATGCGATAAGTAACTAAATTATCCGACCAAATCGGTTGTCTTTGAAAAATTTATAACGCTTGGCCACTGTTTTGTAATTAATTTATTCACCTCGTATTTTAAGAAACATTAAAGAACAATGAAAACCCTGATTGAGTATATTAACAAATTATTTAGTTAATTTACATTTGGGCAATTATCAGCTCTTTTTAGCATATAAAAAGAAAATGTATTGCTATAAATATTTGTTAAAGTTTTTTTTTAAGTTATTGCCCTTGATCTGTTTTTGGAATAAGACCTGTAGTATTTTGGAAACATTACTTTTTATTGCAATTTTAAAATTACAAAACTCTAACCTAATTGCGTATCTACTTAATATATATAGGAATATTTTCACTGAATGCAAAACGGTATCAGATTTATCACGTTAGTAATCCACGTCATTTCTACTGTTATGTTTTAACTAGGAATGCCGCCCAGCTTCGCTTAGGCTTTCAAAAACATTGAGAATTTGAATGCTTAATTAATTCGCCCGAGTGTCAGTCTACGACCTCAGAAGTTATGAAGAGGCTCCTACGTGGACACATTTTTGTCGATTTATAGCTCTTATAAGGCGCCGGTCAGTCGAGGTCTGTTTTGACCCCCTCATCGTAGACCTTTAGGCCAACCGGCACCGGCCCCCGTGTTCTGTCACCCCAAGGCAAGATCCTGCAAAATTTGAAGCGCCTGCGGCGCCGGGAAGTGCCCGATGTCGGGCACCCGACAACTTTGCTTCATATATTATAGAGATTAGCAAATTGCATAGATAAACAAAGATTTCCAAAGTAGTTCCTTTCTTTATAGTCTAAAATAGGAAGATTCACATATATATAAAAAAAAAATAGGTTTGTCTTGATGTGTCTCGATCCGGCACCACCTGTGTGGTATCAAGTACACTATCATCTCAGCAAATTATGTACCTTTTAAATTATGGAGAATAAAAGACGTGTTTGAAAAAATAATTTACACGAATATGCCTATTTTTTCAAATTATTTTTTTTACCCAAAATGGACACAAGCGAGAAAAGTCTCAAAGGTATTTGAGAGGTGCATAAATTAATTTAAAATTCTTGCACGGCGTAGTTACAATTAATATGGTTATAAAATCCTGTCTGTCTGGTTTTTTTTGGACTTTACTAAAGATTGGACGTATTTGATGTTTTTAATATTTTCGGTAACTAAATAAAAATTTAAAAAAAAGCAAAAACAATTTGGTTTTCACGTGTAATGGCGACATAAACAATGGCATCCTGCTATTGGATAAGCCGACAAAATTTTTATTGTACACATTGTAAGCTAAAAATAGAAAACTAGGTCATGGGGTTTTAAATTTGCATTGTTATTTAAAAACGTGATCTGCAAAGTTTTGTAAACAAATAGTTATCGATCACTAAGTTACTGTACAGCCAATCAATATTTGTCTTACGAAAGTGAAACATCCGGTTATAACTTAGGCTTGATGAAAATAAATAGAAATGTAGCCTTAAACTCAACAAATTATTTTCTAGTTCTCTGGATTTGCAACTTTTATAGCATTTATTCTAAAAATATAAAATTTCTAAATTAATTTTAGGCTTAAGTTTTTATTTTTTATTTTTTTTTTACGGTCTAAATCTAAAAAGCACGTTTTTATTCCATGTCAACAACACTATGGAAGGAATCTCGTCAACTCGCTTGTCTCCATTAGCCAGTTTCATTGCTAAACAAACAAAGATTTCTATAAAATATTTAAGTCCCGAAAAAGTTTATTATAGAAATTTATTTTTGGAATAGATTCTACAGTAGATAGAGTCTAAATCTAGATCTAGAATAGATCTTAGCGACGTAGCGTCTACGTCAAGTTTTTGCGTAGTTCTAGATCTAGTCTAGATCTAGAATCCAAATAGATAAAATAATTTTTTTAAGTTTAGGCCGAGAATATCGTATTGTATAGTCTACATTTCATAGCGTACATAGCTCTAAATCATATATGAATGAAATAGTTCATTTCTTTTTTTCTAAACTCGGAAGATGACGTCAACAGTTTCTTTTTTGTGTTTGCATTTATATTTTAATTTTAAAATGATCACACAATGATACATCACATATTCAACTACGTCAGGATAATCAAAGGCTTTTGTTTCAGGAAGAACATAGATTTTAAACAACTATATTTACAAATCGCAAGTTAAACAATGATAAAGTAAAATTAGATTTTTTGCATTATTTTCATGCAATGTAAAAATGTTTTTTTTTTAAAATATAAGCCAAGCAGTGATCATCATTTAATCTTGCTACATTCCTATTAATAAAAATGTTAAAGAAAAGTGTTTATTTTATAAGATGAATAGCAAAATTTTAGTGCATAAAAACACATAATAAAAGTAGTGATGCTGAGTTAGAATAAATCAACACCAAAACAGATTCCATGTACAAATTTAAACTCTACAAGCTAAAGATTCTACCCAAAAGGATGACAAGAGGGTTTTCTTGACAAACTTATCGTCATGGTACTAAATTTATGTTACATTTTTCAGAAAACTACCTCCAACTCTCATTTGCAGTATAAATTTTAATTAACAATTATTACATCGAAAAAGTCACGAATTTTTTAATACTACCACATGTGGTTGTAAAGGAACTTTTCTTAAGTCTTGTCCTGTCTTAGTGGCCAGCATCTGGTCATTGATAAATTGGGATAAAATTGGTATACTTGCTCTTGGATCATTTGCTGGTAGTTTGGGACATTTTATTTGATTTCTCCATGTCTCAGCCTTAGGCAGTAGAAAATCAATCTTCTCTGCTCTTTTTAAACTAAAATTGTTATTCAACATTCGAATACGCCTTTATTTTTTATTTTTCTTCTTTAAATAAAATTGTGGTTATACATATTTTAAAACATCTAACATATTCTTTTCAACAAAAGTCCGTATAAAGTTCTCGATATATCGCTGTAGATTCTGATTTGATGTCCGGCGAAAATATTTTGCGGACAGAGAGAGAGAGAGAGAGAGAGAGAGAGAGAGAGAGAGAGAGAGAGAGAGAGAGAGAGAGAGAGAGAGAGAGAGAGAGAGAGAGAGAAGTGCGCACTGGGGGTTTTATATATTAGGATTGTATTGAAATCCTACAAGTACCAGGCCAGAGACGCGGAAAGTCCTTACATAATCTCTTAGGAAGTTGATAACATATTACATTAATACAATTGTGTTTTAAAAACACGTTTAAATCATGTATATGTTTAATATATCTTATACTCAAAATGTTGTAATGCGTCTTCAAAGTGCTTCAATGGTGCCTTAAATGTGTTTTAAAAGTGTTTTACACACCGATTTCAAGTTTTTTTATAAATGCACTAAAAAGAAGAAAATAATACAGTTTTTATATAATATAATAAATCTGCGGTTACTTTATATATAAAAAAATTACTTCCTTTAAATATATTAAGGCACTACTATTTATATCATTATAATTAAAAGCGTGGGCCGCTTGTTGAAATTGTTATTATTATAGCGACCCACGTGATCTAGACAGACAGACAGACAGATGAAGCGAGTGTAATTAAAGCTTGTAAAACCAGTGTTAGTTATATAAATTGTGTCTGTGTTAGGGCCCTTATTGTATGCAACTTGCATTGGCCAATCATGTATCTGTCGCCCATCCACCCATCAATCGCGCCTAATAAATTACGCTGTTTATGATTTGAGTAAATTTTAAAAACCATATAACCTTTGAAACATACCCTGCGCCTCCTGCTGATGTATCTATCACCCATCCACCCATCACCCCGCACCTACCACTAATGTATCTATCACCCATCCACCCATCACCCCACACCTACCACTCATGTATCTATCACCCA